AGAAGATAGATAAAAAATAGGTGGGCAGATTGGTTAATGTGGCTTGTATGAGGGTGAGCCGTCCCCCTTTTGAAATATGGGAGTGATCCCAAGAGCTATAAGCCTTTTCCTCACTTTCTCAATGACTGGGTCCCAAAAGGATGCTGTTTGAGGTTTACCGTGGAGAGGTAGGCCAAGATAAGTGGTGGGCCAAGAACCTTTTCTATAGACAAATCTGGATGCCAAGGATTCAAYAGCAGATTCCTCCAGGTTAATTCCGAAAACTTCTGTTTTTTGGAGGTTGGAGTTTAGTCCAGATGCTTCTTCAAAGGATTTGATAATGCCGAAAAGATTTGTTACCTTAGTGTCGTCCATGGTAGAGAAGAGAATAGTATCATCGGCAAATTGGAGATGATTTATCTGTAAAGGCAGAGGCTGCCAAGAGTAAAACCCTCAATGATATTGTTGGTGGCTGCGCGGGTCAAGAGTCTACTGAGGCAATCCATAATAAGAATAAAAAGGAATGGTGAGAGAGGGTCACCTTGCCTTAGTCCCCTAGTGGCCTTGATCTTGCYTCTAGGTTTCCCATTGATGATGATCGAGAAATTAGCYGATGAAATACACCCTCTAATCCATTTTCGCCAMCGTRTCCCAAATCYCTTTGCCTCAAGAATGCTGTCTAGGAAATCCCAGTCAASTTTATCAAATGCTTTTTCAATATCGAGCTTTATCACCACCCYTCTTTCGAGTTTCCTTTCCCATGCRTCAATAAGTTCATTGGCAATAAGYGAAGCATCCAGAATTTGTCTATTAGCAACAAAAGCWGATTGGTATTCAGTTATGGTAAAGGGAAGGACCTTTTTTAGCCTCTCCSAAAGGACTCTCGCTATAATCTTGTACATACAGGAGATCAAGCTTATCGGTCGATAGTCACTGACTGTTCGAGCATCAACTTTTTTCTGGATTWAGCAAATATAGGTCTCGTTGAGGCTAGCATTAATGRTTCCATTCYTGAARAARTCTTGGAACACTYTCAAGATATCTTGTTTGAGRATGTTCCAATACTTTTYGTAGAATTCGGCGGTGAAACCATCTGGGCCTGGCGTCTTATTGATTCCAAGKTCCTTGACTGCTTGCCAAATCTCTACCTCTAGGAAAGGAGCTTCAAGGAGGTCTCGTTGTTGGAGGGATATGGGGTCCCAATTTAAGGATGATGGTAGTTGTCTGGTACCATTCTTTTTGGTGTACAAATCTGAATAGAATGATACAAATTCTGTCTCRATCTCTGCATCATTCACTAAGCTGTTGCCATCACGGGACAGTAACTCAAGGATAGAGTTCTTTCGACGCCTAGCAGCCACCACCCTATGGAAAAAACCCGTGTTCAAGTCCCCATCTTGCAACCATTTCAGTTTACAATGCTAGCGCCAATGAGCGTCTTCAGATAAAGCTAAGGAGAGAAGTTGTGCTCTTAGTGAGGCTCTATGGGTGATTTGTACAGCTTGTATGGTGCCATCCTCCTCCAAGGAGTCTAGAACGATCTTTTGGCTCTTGGCATTTCCAAAAGTCTCGCCTTTCCAAGCTCTAATGATCCCTTTAAGGCTTTTCAATTTTTGAATGAAACCATGGCCAGGCCATCCTCTCAACGGGTTATTAGTCCACCAACTTTCGATCAATGGGAGGAAAGAAGCATGTTGCATTCAAGCGTTTTCAAAAYGAAAGGGAGAGGGGCCCCATTGGTTTATTCCAAAGGATAATTGAATCGGGAAATGGTCGGATGTTTCCCTGTCCAAACGATTAATCACGACGTTAGGAAATTTTGTAAGAAAGGGTTCAGTGCATAAGAACCTGTCTAACRACGATAAGTGAGGAGTATCCCTCATGTTTGACCATGTGAAGAGACCATTGTTAAGGGGAAGGTCTATCAAGCTGGATTCAGCAATGAAGTTGTTGAAGAAATTCATGCTACAAGTGGGTCTTATGTGTGAGGATTTTTCAAAGGACCACCGAGTGACATTAAAATCACCTCCCAAAAGCCAGTCTTCATTGCAAAGGAAGGAGAGATCCTTCCGTTCATCCCAAAAAAGACCACGGTCTTTAGCCTTAGATGGGCCATATATTCCTGTCAACCAAAATTTAAAACCATCAGCGAGGGTGATAAGAAGTGAGAGGGAGAAGGCTCCAATTTTGATATCCTCCACAGTAAGGGTTGGGTCATTCCAAAGAATGACGATGCCACCAGAAGCTCCAATAGATTCTTTGAAGGCCCAGGCAATATTTCTCGAGCTCTAGAGAGATTTAACAAGAAGAGAGTGTTGAAAATGATTGTCAAATTTAGGACATTCTTGTAAATAATTTATTAGGAAAGTTAGATTTATTTATCTTTTTTTCATTACATTCTTTGATCCCTAGAGTTTAGGGATTAATTAGAATATTTTACTTTTTCAAGCCTTTTCTTTTTGTATTTTATTYAGTAAGGTGTAATCTTGAATTGTAAAATTGATGTGAAAATTCTTTTTCTCCCGAAAACAATATGATATCATGTTTCTTTTGGGAGGAAGTTTGGTCTTTGGTTAGGTTTTATGTCTATCTAGGCTTTGGTGTTTAAAGATTTTCCTAAACCAAAAAGTAGTCCGTGACCTCGCGTATAAGGAGAGGTCGAATTCCAAACTTTTCTCTCGAGTATACACCCTTCTTTTTTTTTTTTCCCATCAAGAAACAAACTTTTTATTTATTTTTTTATAACTGGGAGTTGGAGCTTTGCTCCCTTATACCCAGGGGCACCCGCGCCTGCCCCAAGGCTCGGACCCGGGATACATAAAAGATTTTTGGTATTAAGCTTATTAGAAGGTTCGAACCTGAGACTTCTAAGCCAGTRTGGCCAAGAGACCCCAGTCCTTGCCAATTGGGCTGCCCCTCGGGGGCAAAACAAACTTTTTATTGAAAATATGGAAAAAAAATGTTCAAGGATACAAACTTCCAAAGGAAGCGAAAGAGAAAAGAAAAAATAACCACCAAGGATTAGAGAACCAATAACTAAGATCACCGACTACAAAATACCAAGAAACACTGATAAGACAAAAGCCAAAGAAATAAGAAAAAGCTGAAAACAGAGGCTTGAAAAGCTTTCAGCTCCAAAAGATGCAAAAACCAAGAAGACCAAATCAACTGCCAAAACGTAGATTGAGGAGCTAAAGAGAACAAAAACCAAAAGCAACGAGCAAGATTCTCTAGACGATGAAACAAATAAAAACTTGATAGAAACCTCCTCTTTCAAGCAAAAAAAAACAATGAACTSAAATGGACAAGACTCTCCAAAACCAAAACCACCGAAGCTTGAAAACCATTCTAAACCCTTAAGTCAATATGAAAGTGCAGAAAAATACGGCCCGATCAAACTCCTTTCTAGAACATGAATCCTAAGCAATTCTACTGAATTTAATTAAAAAAGTATATGAAAACCTTCGAGCTTTAAAAAAAATCTTATGATCTTCCGCCTTTTCTTGAAGAGCTTCTTGAAAGCTTCCTGAAGAATCCAATCCGTGTCTCTCCCAAAAACAAAATATCTTCATTGTTTCATTGTGTAAGATTGGGACTAATGTGATTCCAACTGCTTCAAAATAAAGTGGAATCCACTAATCAATCAAGCCATCTTCTTTGCCAATTGTCTTCTTTTTGTTGTCSCAAATAGGATCCTTTAAAGAGGGAGATTGAAGCGTCTAGCTTGGGGGGTGCGTCGAACTGTTGAAAGGCCTTGGTGATTCTCCAATTTGGTAATCTGAAGATAGAAAACCACAATGATTMCAAACTGAACTTCCCTCGTCTCATATCCATGCTGCCCTGACTCCAAACTCGATGTTTGTTAACTAAGCGGGACGTTCCCAAATATTTTTTTTTTTATTTTTTTATTTTTTATTGTTGGATGGGTTGATTTCTTGATCTTGATTAATTGTGAGACAAAAAAAATCTTTCTTATCGATTTTTTCAATTATTTGAAAATTATTAACCCTAGTTTTAGTAGGCACTTTTCATTCTTCAATTCATTCTAACGGGTAGGGTTTTCTTTCTTTTTGCTTTTCATTCCATATTGGCCTATCATAAAGAGAGAATTAAAATCCTTTGCAAAAGAGTATTTCAAAAAATTTTCCCGAAAAGAACCTTGATTTTCTGAGATATTTGGTGAAACTTGACTAATTCTGATATTCAAATCGTCCTCGTCATCCAAATTGGTATATTCCACATGTCTTTTCTTTGCCACATCATTGGTTGAGTTTAATAGATCCAAGAATAAGGGGCGGTTGGACTTGAAGGGATGCCTTTTCAAAATTCCTATGACCAAAAAATTCCTATGACCAAAAGATTCCTATTCCTAGGGCATTGAACGAGCATTAGAGCCATCTAAGAGTGACAAGCACTTACYAAGGTGGTAAAACTCTCATGTACGGTTTTGTAATAGCGATGAGAACAGTGATGTTATTGGCGACTACAATTGTTGGAGGCCCACTCATTCTAGTAGGAGTTAGTGGGAAAGGGGAGAGGTGTGGTGGGCACAAAATGAAAGGGTTCACTTTGACGGTTAAGAGTAGGTAACCTGTTACCTGTGTTTTTATTTCTATTGCATTCTATCTCATCGTATCATATTAGAAAATGGAATAATCGGGAATTAGAAGTAATTGGGCAAGTCGCTATAGTACCAACGTTCTGGTGCCGTCGAGGAGGACGTCACTAAAGAGAGGTTGTCGCTTCCATTCTTCACCGACAACCTCGCTTTAGGTAATTTCTTGTGTATCTGGAGTGAAAATAGTCGGTTCATGCTAGAAGATGTTGTGAGAAAAATGCTAGTTCCTCTTTTTCTGTCCCAGTTCCTGTGGTTAGAAAGCTACATGGTGGAGGTAAATCAACAGTCGATTCATGCTCATTTCTACCATGAGATCCGTGATGACCTTGGACAATGTAGATTGTTAAAATTCAAAACCAACTAGTTGTGGTTCTTGGAGCTGGGGATATGGCCATCCATGGGTGGTATGGCCTTGTATACTCTTTCTTTTTTCTTTTTTCATTTTTTTCAATGAAAAGCTCGGTTTCTCATAACAAAAATGACACGCATCTAAGAATTCAACTCCAAGCTTGGCTAGTATTCTATATACAATCCAATTTAAGTGGAGTGTAGATTTGTTTATTTAAATAGATATTATTTAGATTAGATACTGGTTTAGTTTTTATTTTTTGTTATTAGTCAAAATTTTCCTATTTTAGTTAGATTCCCTTTGCGGGAGCTTAATAAGGAAAACCCTTATGTCTTCCATGTCTGACTCAGGTGTGGGTGCTCCCGAATTAGTTATGGGGGGCCCCAACACTGGGTTATCAAAAAAGAAAAGAAAGATTCTTATCTGAAGGTAGCTGCTATGTTCTACAAATTTTCTAGGGTGCTTATTTCTCCCCGTTTTGTGCTCCATGTTTTTTGCTTGGGAATTGTTCATATGTCTCACTGAACACAATGACACTGTGAATACTTTATTGCAGGGAGATGTATATCCTGTGGAGCCGTACGAAAATTTTCATTCAAATCAAGTTCTTGATGCTCACTGGGGTGTTCTCTATGATGAAGATGTACGTACGTATACAGTTTTCAAATATTTCCATTGTGGTTGTAAAAAAAATCTGTGGAAGTTTGATTGAGATTTGGCCCATTTGGGTGAGTCAAGTTCAATGTTTAAGTCGAGATCTTTAACAKTAAGGTCGTCTATTTTATTTTAAATTTGATGACATCTTCTTTTTGATATGTGAGAACGTATATATTGTTCTTTCTCATGATTTATGCACAGACTTGTATCTGGTTGGTAAAGAAAAAGGACTTTCAACCAAAATCTTTATGGAAGCCCGGTTTAGAAAGTTAAAATGACCCCTTTCTGTTTAATGCATTGGTGATAATTTCTGTGATCTCAATAGTCGACGTACATCCTCTCTTGTACTTCTTCAGAAGCTTAATGAAAAGTCCTATGTTTCTTACCTAGATAACAAGATCAAAGGCTTGTGTGATAATTTAATTGAAGGATTCTCGTTGGTGGGGGGATAATCAAATGGCTAACTTGCAACTTGCTGACCATACCCTTCTTTTTTCTGTGATTGAGGAAGAGAAGCTTCAGAATTTGTTGAAGATTTTGAAGATGTTTGACGGCCTAATTTGGCCAAATCAGTAGTAGCGAATGTTGACCTTAGCATAGAGGAAACGTTTAGGTTGCTACTTTGTGGGGCAGGCTGCTGAGCTGATTCACTTTCTACCTCTTTTCTCAGATTTCCTCCTGGGGGCAATCCTAAATCCCCTCCTTTTAGGAACTTGTTCTGGAAAAAAAAAGAAAGGCCAGTTGAACAACTGAGTTGAGGAGGAATTATGCTAAAGGTGGTAGATTGACAGAGCTCTCCGACCTCCCGATTTTTTTCCTCTTGGTTTTCAATTCCTTTTTTTTTAATGTATAAACGTATTGAGAAGATGCCGAGAGACTTTATTTGCAGAGGTTCTAATTAAGAGGGTGAATCTTACCTTGTCAATTGGAGGATTGTCTCTCTCCATCAAGTCAAGGGGATCTAGACTTCGGTAAGGCTAAGGAGTGTAATAAGGGTCTCTTAACGAAATGGTTGTGGTGACTGGTGCTTGACCTTGAACCTTCAGCTTTATGGAGAGGTGATTTAAAATAAATATGCTTCTCCAAAAGTTGGCTGCTTTCCTTACGAGTGCAAAATCAAGAGTTGCAGAAGCCCTTGGACTAGTATAGAGAAGTTAAAATACAGCTTTCATCGATTTTCTTCTTCAAAAGCCAGAGATGGMAGTAAAACCTTGTTTTTTGGCTTGTTGACTGGAGTGGCAGTGGCAGTGGCAGATGTAAAAATAGCTACCTCAAAATTTTTTCTCTTTTATCCTAGATGATTGCAAGAACAACGGATGTGTATGACAATTCCTCTATTGTCTTGTAGTCGGTGATGGYGTTCAGAAGGCATTTAAAAGGTTTCTTTTGGATAGAGAGGCTGTTGAATGAAAATTTCTTATACCTATCTTAAAAACAAGATTTCTCTATGGGCTGGGAACAAAAGAGTCTGGGAGCTTGACAAGAACTAGGTTTTTTCCTTTCTCACATAAGGGGAGCCATCCGACTTTGTTCTAGGTTTTTCTTTGGTCATTAGCATCCCTTGGTGGGCTCAATATGATTGATAAGGTGCAGAAATGCAATCCTTCTTTGGTTCTCAACCCAAATTGGAGTTCCTTCTGCAGAATTGCCTAGAACGATACTAACCATCTTTTATTTCTGTGGTTAAAGTTGCTGGAAGCCTGTGATCTGGCCTGGGTTTCATGCTATTTAGTTTCTGTTCATGTTTTTCAAGTGGCCCATGGGCAGAATTTCAGCCCTCAAAAGSTGTTTTGGATTAATRCCTAATGGATAATTTGTCTGGAGAGAAATAGAAGAATCTTCAAGGATGAGGAAATCGAGGACCCAACTGAGAGATGGTGTATCTTTTTTTTTTGTCTTTTTGGGCTCAAAAATTCAAACACATTTGTAATTGTTCTCTCATCACTTAGTTGACCAATTGGACATCTGTAACTTCGTGGTTTTGTACATTTTTCATCTGAATGATATTTAGTTTCTTATTAAAAAAATATTTTGGTCCAAAATTTTAATTCTATGTTTCAGCACTTGTATATTGGTCCATGTAGCTGAAGTTCRAAATAYGAAAGAAATCGGTGTTTTCACAACTCTACCACCCAATCAAGTTTGTTCCACTTAATCCATATTTCAAGTTGACATTTTTTTTGGATAAGGAATGGAAACATTTCTCTTAGAATAAGATTCCAACTCAGTATCTTGTGCATTTTTTCCTTTTTGAGGAAATGGCTTGTTGTATTCAGATCTCATATCCACGTTTATTCTGGTTAGACTAGAGTAATGTCAGTGTTCTGTGTTGTTTAGTTGTACAGTCAGTGGGATATGTAAAGACTACACTTTGAAATCTTCATGGAGTAGAACTAAGATCGCAGCTTGCTTTGAACACCTGATTTGAAATATTTCTCTTTTGCATTTATTCCTTTTGTCGTCTTACAATTCGAATGATGAAACTTATGGTTCTCTTGGGGTATCTCTTTCCTCCTTTGTTGACTTCCATTTCCTTTTACTCTTTTATTGTTTTAAGTAATGTACAGTTTTTTTATTCCCTCCACTAAATATAATGGGATATTTTCCAGCTGGTCTAGTTTTAGGTCAAATGACCAACAAATTTTGCACCCACTGTCTTGTGCACATATACTGCATCCTTTCTTTTCTTGGCATTTGAATCTTTTTACGTTGGCTTGTCGAGGGAATATTTAAGTATTGTATGTGGTTTTTATTTTATCTCTTCTGCAATTTTTTCTTTAACTTTTTTATGTGTTCTGCTAACTTTCAGTCGAGTGGTCATCAATCCCATACCTTGTCTATGCTAGTGAACGACTATCCTGGTGTTCTCAATGTTGTCACTGGGATTATTTCTAGAAGAGGTTATAACATTCAGGTAGGTTCTAATTTTATTGTACACTTTGTACAATTTCGTTTTCTTTAAATTTTCATCAGCCTCTYGATGGTAATTTTATATTTGAAAAATTTCTAGAGTCTTGCTGTAGGACCTGCAGAAAGTGAGGGTTTATCACGTATCACAACTGTTATTCCTGGAACTGATGAGTCAATTGGAAAGTTGGTTCAGCAGCTCCATAAACTAGTTGACCTTCATGAGGTAGCATGATCAATAGTTTTTTAATGAAAAAATTTAAATACTAGCATGAGTTCCTTGCCTCAACAAATGCTTCAATTTTTTTGTCTGCATCACTATATTTAGAATAGAAGTATATTTTTCCATTGAACAAAGAAACAGCTTTTCATTAGAACAAAAATTGTTCAAAAATACAAACTCCGTGTGGAAAAAAGAGAAAATAAAAGTAAAAATATAAATATGAGTCTAAGGGAAAAATATAAAGGCATCCAAATTGGAACAAATAAGACTAGGAGAATAATCGTCAAATAAATTTGAAATTGAGCACCATTAGGAGGCTTTGAACTTAGCTAAGTTATAGCTCTCAAATGCAGATTTACTATTGCCTTAAAAAGTCCTTTGATCTCTTTCCAACCCTAATTATGGTAATAAGGCTTTGATAGCGTTAACCCATAGTAAGAGGGCCTTGAAAGATAGCAATGGACCAAATAATAATTAGGATAGAATCATTGTAACGTCTAATGCAAAAACCCAATGAAGTTTGAACTGCTGAAATAAGAAACCCCAACAAACCATTGCAAATGAACAAGACGAGATGAACTCCGCTTGCACAACTATCAGCACATAAAACACATATTGAAGGTTGAAGATGCATGTTGGGAACCTTCTTCAGAAGTACTTCAGCCGTGTTAACTTTGCCATTTATAAGGATCCAATGAAGCACACTAACTTTCTTTGGGCTGTTTGATTTCCAAAGAACTGCATAAATTTCCTTTGGCAAAGGAGCTGAGTTACGAGACATAGATAAGGAATTCACTGAAAAAACACCAGATGAGTCAATATTCCAGCACCTTTGATCTTCTTCAACCTTAAAAGGACACCATGTGAAGAGCAGACATGAGTGCAATATATTCTTCAGCTTCACCATCTTTCAAATATCTTCTAGTTTCAATTTAGAAGTATTATAGGCAAACTCAGATGATTTTCAAACTTTGTGTTCCTCATGATTTGGTTTAATTTCATATGCCAACTGTGAGGATGCATGTTTGATATCCATGGCACTCATCTAATGACACTTAAACTAGATGCTTTTTTTTCACTTTGAAGGTTCCATGTTGATATGTAGTAATTTTTCTTCCTTTTTTGTTGGAAACAACTTTGTTTCAGTCACATAAAAATAACAAATAAGAATGGTGGATAAGATAGCTCCCCATCCAAGGCCAAGGTAAAAGGTCGATACAAAGAGGGCCTCCAATTTACTAAAGGTCTAAATAATGAACTTGATGTAGTGTAAACCCTAGAATAGTTAGTTACCGGTTATTATACTAGCTGTTAGTTGTTTACTTGGTTATTTAGACATCTGTTAGTTGCAACACTATTATAAATACTAGTGTTTAGATGGTAAAAGGAAGATCATTATCATCAATAAAGTTTCACTCCTTTGGTTTACACCAAATTGGTATCGGGCGACCTTGTGAGAGGGCCTGATGCCTGCAAAAAGAGCAGCCACCTTTGGAAGTGATGCAGTTCGGTCCAACAGGGAGTCTAGAGCGGAACTCCACCAAAATCTGCAAATTATTCTCACCAAAAACATCAACTAGATGCTTGCTGTCAGTTGGGGAATCTCTTGGAGAAATTCAAGAAAGTTGATCAAAGTTCAATTTATGATGGGTACAATAACCAGACCATTGGATCAGTTGGTTTTGAATATTTATAATCCGTACGGTAAATGAGAGCAAACATAAGATAATGACACTAATCTTCATCAAGAACGACCTATATTTCCAACAAGATAATACCAAGAACAAAAGAACCACTCCACAGAAAATACTRTGAATTTTTCCCAACACGATAGACCTCAAKAATACAGAAATGAAGGGTTCTTGGTTCAAGATTCCGATTTTTCGAGCAAAAAAGAACGACCTATATTACCAACAAGAAGCTTTATTGGTGTAAACCAAAGCCGAGAAGCTTTATTGATGGTGATGATCTTCCTTTTACCATCTAAAAACTGGTATTTACAATAGTGTTGCAACTAACAGATGCCTAACTAACCAAGTAACCAACTAACAGCTAGTATACTAACTGGTAACTAACTAGGGTTTACACTACATCAGAACGTTATATCAATTATCTTGATGTAGAATTGGTCTAGAATTTGGACAGAAATATTTTGACATTTACTGTATTATCCTCATGATGATAAGTAACTATGATACACAAAAGTACCCTACTCTAACTATATATCTAATGCAGAAAGCTTACAAAAAGATAAATTGATCCTGAAAGATGAAGGCCGAATCCAACCTAAATGATAAACGTACCCTTCCTTTATTGAACTGAAGAAATACAAGTTGATATATCTTGTGGTTCATTTTGAAAGTTTCTTGTATTATATTTTTTGATTTGTATTTCTTTTGTTTTTTCCTTATTAGTTTAGTTGCATATCTTATGTACTATTATCTCATATCTGAAAAAATCTGCAAATAGGTGGCATTCTTGTTTACTCTACTCCTATAAATAGTGTTTTCATCCCTTTTATGTCGAGAGAAAGTTGATATTATATGAAAATTTTCCATGAATAATCTTTTGAGAATTTTAAAAGTGCATAGTTTACAGTAACTATGTCATTGCGACTTGTACAAGTTCTTGGTTGATGAAATACGTGGGGATGCTTTCTTCAGGTGCGGGATCTCACTCACTTGCCATTTGCTGAGAGAGAGTTAATGTTGATAAAAATTGCAGTAAATGCTGCTGCCAGAAGGGATGTCCTTGATATTGCTGAAATATTCCGTGCAAAAGCTGTTGATGTGTCTGATCATACAGTTACTCTTCAGGTCATCTCCTTTCCTTGGATGTTGTAGAATTGTTCATGAATACAGATATATATGTGTGGTTGAGACTAATTGCATATAATGTGCATGCATATTTTTTCTTTGCACCGGTGTGTGTGTTTTATTATAAACGTATGGCTAAATATATGTTTTTGTCATTACCATGAGGATTTTTTCAATTTTGTCCTGAATGTTTAAAAAGTTCCAATTTCATCCCTTATTTTTAGTCGAAGACTTAGGCCATGTAGGAGAAGGAAGTTTTTAATTCCTMCGATTTTCTAAGTAGTTGGTAAAAAATTTTTACTTTTCTTATCCTAGGTGGCCAAATTTCTCATTTAATTTTTTATATAAGCTTATTATTAATCAAAAGAGTATAATTGCAAAATATTAAAATGTAAGAGGCTAAATTGAAACTTTTTAAATAATAGGGACTAAATTGAAAAAGTAACCAAACATTAAGGACTAAAACATAAATTTAGCCTAAATGTACGAATGTCGGTAGAGCAGCAATATAACTGGGCAGTCYTTTTTCCTCTAAACTGAATGAAGAAATTCTACCATTTATGTCTCAATTTGGAGTTCAAATTTAGCACAATCGTCTAATACTAATGAAGGAGGACCGTCTATGGGCATGGGGTGGATTCTAGTCCCCTAAAAATTAGCTCTATAATAGAAWAGAAAATGCACCAGAGCGCTTGGTGTTAATGTGTTATCCCAAAGAAACATAGCTTCTCTTAAGTACAATACAAATGCCATAAGTAAGAATCGTAGAATGTTTATATTTTTATATGGACAATTTTTATTTTTATTTTTTGTTTCGTTCTGGCTATTCTTATGCTGTAACTGTTTATATGCTCCAGCTCACTGGCGATTTAAACAAGATGGTCGCATTGCAGAGATTGCTGGAGCCATTTGGGATATGCGAGGTTTGTGTCCTTTATCTGGTTCTCATGTTGACTAGCAGTTGGAGAAAGAATTATTGTTTGTCATTTTTCTAAAATTTAATGTTTGATATTATATGCTTCTTAACCTAACATACAACTCACAAATATAATGAATACATACATATATATATATATATATCCCTTTTACCTGACTATTAATTGTGTTTCAGCATTTATATTGCTGTATATCGATGTAAATATCTTAGATATAAGAGTTCATTAGTTATTTTTTCTTCATTGCAATTTGCTGATATCTTTCTTATAAGCATCATGATAAATTCTTTTGAAGTCAACCAAGTTATCATTGTTTCAAAATGTTTTTGAMCATCTACGTGATATTCTGTGCATAGACAGTTCTGTTTCCCATTTAATTTTAGCGTGCATGTGCTCTTGGCTCCTGAAAAAATAGATCTCCACAACTATTTCGTTTTCTGTTGGCTACGGTATTCACCAATAACAAGTTATCTAGAGTTGCTAACAATCTCTAGTGTAGATCTTGTAGTGTGCAATTAGTCCATACATGGTTTTTTGCTATATACTGAGATTAAGGGGGATTATTTATTTAGACTACCAAGTCTAAGGGTGCATATCAAAATGTAGATATTACAATATTCAAATCATTGGCATCTTCCTGTTATCGTTAGATTTCATCCAATTCGGATATGATGTATTTGATCTTTTATTTCAACACCAAAACTCATGAGTTTGAAATTAAGCACAAGTGAGCTATCAATATTGTTAGGGAGGTCGGTAGAGGTTTGAATACAGATGTCCTCTTGTTTTGATACCATGTAAAATTACCATTAAACCTAAAAACTTTGGAATTGTTGTATATTCAATATTTTATACACATTCTTAAYGGCCTAGTGTGTGTTTATTGTACATGGATATGCATACATGATAAGTTCTGTGTTCTTTCTTTATTCCATAGGTGGCAAGGACAGGAAGGGTGGCGTTAGGAAGAGAATCAGGTGTCGACTCAACTTACCTGCGTGGTTATGCTCTTCCAATCTAATTCCCGAAAATCCATTTTCTTTCTGGCGATTCAATTGATGTAAGTTTTTCTCTCCCTTACTGTTTTAACAGTACTATCTTCCTGTTTTCCACAATGAACGTTAAAGCAATATCAATCTTAAATTAGTCTCACTTTGCATGTTAGATATTGTAGGCTGGATGGCTTTGGTTTGGATTTTGATTGAAAATGGAGTTCTTTGAAGCACAAACTCAAGACTTCAAAGTTGATGGGGTGGAAGATGGTTTCGATTCTGTTGCAAGATTGTGCATCTCACCCAACCATAAATTTGAGGCATCTTACTTGTATTGTAACCCTTGTTGACTTAACAAGATTTCTAAATTAGTTTGTTAGATAAGTGATGAGTGGTGAAAGTACAATGTTGCTGTTTACCCAAAGTGTATTTTTTTTTGGGAGTAAAATGGTAAGTGTATTTTTGGCTGTTAAAGAAGACGTTATTGTGTAACCAAAAAACGGGACGGGGTCTGTTTGGTATCTTATCCAGATTCAATTTTTTGTTTTCAGATTTCTAGATCATATGGATTCACTGAATTCCTATTTGGTGGCTTTTTATTTTTTAAAACATCTTTTGGATTGTGTTTGGGTTCCATGAAAAAACTTGAAAGGATGTTTTCAAATTCTAAATCTGCTACAGATCATATACTAAAAAAATAGTGAAAACATGAAAATACAATTTAGTTTTCCATTAAACGCCTAGATTTCAAATCTCTATTTTGTGAATCTTCATGTTACTCAAGGATTTCATCCAAGAATTTTTTCCCTTTT